TCCATCAATATTCTTGTTGTTTACTTTGGATTTCCTTTCTATTTTTCTGGAAATTTTTCTGCCTTCACATTCTTTTATAATGATGGCCATCTTTCTGTGTTTCTATAGGTAACAGATCCTTAAGCATCTTTTATGAGGCTGGATGAATGGTGAAAAATTCTGTCAATTTCTGTTTGTTATGGAAGGTCTTTATTTCACCTTCATTCATAAATGAGAGCTTCGCAGGGTACAATATTCTAGGTTGGCACTTTTTTTTCTTAAGACTTGAACTGTGTCTCTCCATTCTCTCCTAGCCTGAAGAGTTTCTGATGAGAATTCCATTGTGAGTCTAACTGGAGATCTCTGAAAGGAATCTTGCATTTCTCTCATGTACACTTTAGAATCTTCTCTTTATGTTTTACTGTTGAACGCTGGAATACAATGTGTCGTGGTAAAAATGTTTTCTGGTCTTGTCTGTTAGCAGTTCTATGTGCTTCCTATACGTGGATGTCCCTTTCTTTTTCCAAATTGGGGAAGTTTTCTGCAACTATTTTACTAAATAGACCTTCTAGTCCATTCTTTTTTTGCATACCTTTAGGAACTCCTAAGATCTTTATATTGGGTTACTTGATAGTATCCCATAAATCTCCAACACTATTTTAAAATTTTTTTCTTATTTCTTCTTTTATTTTGTATAACTGAAAAATTTCAATGATTTGTCTTCTATCTCAGACATTCTTTTTTCTGCCTCACAAAGTCTGTTGTTAAGGTTTTCCACCGCATTTTTGTTTGATTAATTGCATTCTTTATTTCTAATATATCATTTTGATTTCTCTTTAAAATCTCAATTTCATGGGAAAAATTTTTGTTCATGTCATATATGGATTTCTTTACTTTGTGGATTTGCTTGTGATTGCTTTGAGTAATCCTATGATTAATCTTTTGAATTCCATTTCTGGCATCTCATCAATCTCTTCATCTTCACATTCTAATATGGAAATGTTATTTTGTTCATTTGGAGAGGGGTCATGATGTCTTCCTTATTCTTATTTCTTGAATTTCTGTGTTTATTTTTAGATACTTTTTTTTTCCTCTGATGGCTTTTATCTTTGAACTATGCCTCTGTGGCTTACTGGAATGTCTGAACTTTCAGTGACTACCAAGAGGTGTGTACTGAGAGGTGCGTACTGCTGAGAAGATGGTGTCCTGTCTCAGCCTGTTGCTGTGCTTATGCACAGGGATTTTCACAGCTGTTGCCCAGACCCAAAATGGTGCCAACCCTCCCTCAGCCAGGCATCAGGCACTGTTGTGGGGAGAATGGGGTAAGAGAAACATGCCCCTTTTACTTCCACTGGGTCCAAGGGTATCCCTTAGCACCTAGGGCTCCAGGCCAGGCATACAACATGCTCTCCCTCTGGCTATATCACAAAGAACTGCAGCAGTTTGGTCTCACTTCTGTCTCCAAGCTGCCACCTGCTTCGACTCTCAGCTGCTTAGTGTATTTTGTCTGTGTTCATGCTGCACGTGTGTGCCTTCCACACAGGTCCATGGTGTTCTTCTTTCCATAGAATTTCCACTGTGATTTGCTCTCTAATTCTCCAGAGAGTGCACTCCTACAGGTTTTTTTTTTTTTCTATTTATCTCTAGCCTACTGCAGTACACAGTCCCCTATTCTGCCATCTTGAAATCGGAACTCCATAACTGACATTGTGTAAATTCTAAATCAAATTTCAAGAGGGCTTGGTAGCTTTCATTCTTACTGGGCTTTGCAGTTTGCCATCATGTGAAAAGTTCAGACCATGCTTAAGATACAATGTGCAGCAGAGACAAGCTATTCTAGCTGAGATATCCCTATACCAACCAATCTCCAGCTATGGAAATGAGGCCCATTGAGACCAGTAGAAGAACTGCCCAGCTGAGCCTAGTCCAAATTGCCAGTTAACAAAATTATGTGCTAAAAATACTTGTTTTAAGACATTAGGGTTGGATTGGCATGTTACATGTGAAAGGTAACTGATGAAAAATCAAATATAATGAAATTCCTTTATGCTAAGCATGATTGAGGAGTGTCTTAACACTTTTGTATCAACTGGGATGGTTTCTTCCATTTGGCATATGGTATATGCAGAGGATAGCCATGTAATTTATCTTCCAAGTCAGTATACTTTGAAAGTAAACTAGTATTGTCCTGGGAAAACTGGGATTTATTATCACCTTAAATTTGCAATACCATGATGGGTACCTATTTGTATTTCCTTTAATCACAGAATGTCATGACTTGCAGGAAGTCTAGAAATCCTCCAATCCTTTATTGACAGTGGAGGAAAAATGGGGTCCAGAGTTGAGACGTGCCTTTCCCAAGGTTTCACTGCCCATAAGGTATAGGGAAAAAACACACTGCTGTCCATATGGTAGAGTGAAAGTGCTCTGGAGCCCAGGAGACTCAGGTTCGAGTTCAGCTGCATGATCTTGCTCTATAGTCAAAAGTGGGCATTACTTGTTTCCTTTACTAAATGAACAGCTCCTTAAAGATGTAAATGGTAGATTCTGTGTCTTTATATCTCTTTAAGGGATCAAACCCAGTGTATATAATAGTCATAAACACATGCTCAGTAAATATTTGCCAAGGAAGCAGAAGACAAAGTTTCTCATGCTTGGAATAGCACACAGTCTACTCAGAAAGAAAACAAAAACGTATCCCAGGCTTCAGGGATTGGACCTTGAGGGTGGGCTGAACAATGAATGAAGAATCATTGTTATTGCACCAGAGAGTACCATGCACAGCTCTCAAGATTGTGCTCCTTGGGACTGTAGCATCAGTCAGAAATTGTCATGATTCAGGGAACGGCTGTCCTGGTTGACTGATGTTTGCTTTTCATGAGTTGCTGGGTGGGAGCCATTGATTTTCTCTTAAGAGCTTCCTTGACCTTTTAGCTTCAAGAAAGTATGAAAACTTTGCTAACCATTGCTGTAAGAGTCCCACTCAGCCCCAAGCGCCTAGGATCTTGAGTTACTGGCACCTTCCTTCCCTGCCTGCACGTTTTCCTGACTGCTTCAGTGGTTGTGGCCCAAAATTACCTCATTAGCCAGGCAGCACCTATGCTCTGGGCCATACTACTCTGAGACGTCTGCAGGGATTTAAAAGCACATTTTCCTCCCTGATTTTTCTTACTGGGGTTGAGAAAAGCATTGGTCTAAATAGCAGGGCAATGCAGGCAGGGAGGGAGAGCAAAACCATCTCAGGACTATTCATGTGATGTGGGCCAGGGAAAAAAATCAAACACATCCAGCTAATTGTGGACTTTCAGGAGGCCAGACCTTTGTGCAGAACAGATGCTGTGTAACTGTATCGTGAATAAAGAAGTCTCATTGTGAGCCACATCTGTTGTATGCCCTCCCCCTTTCCAGAAACCTCCAATATATGGATCCTTAGATAAGGAGGTCCTTTCCTGCTGTCCACTTGACCAGTCATGGTTCTCCACTAGGCTGCATTAGCAAGTACATGTTGGTCCAATGGGATAGGACTGTTCTTGTTTTTCAAATGAGAAAAGTGAGATCATCAGGGTTGGGGGGGGTGTCCTTGAAGATTTATCCTGGCTGCCACCACAATATTCTATTCCAAATGCTTTTAGAAACGATTTCCCCCAGATTTCCACCTTCTGGCATCATGAAATGTGAGGAGAAACTCAAGCTGTGTAGCCACACAGACCTGGGTCTGAATCTTAGTTCTGTCCTTCAGAAAAGGACCAGGTGTTAATTAATCAATTACTTTGTGCCCAAGATTCTTTCTATTTGTGTCAATAACAAATACATATATTCCTGCCCCAAATGTTTCCTGCTCTGCCACAATATAGGTTATTGAAAACACCTAGTTCAGATTCATACTAAGTAGGTACATGCTTTTGTAGAAGGCATATGTGTGTGTACTGCCATAATAAATTATTTCTACTTCTCATTATTTCTTTCACCCCCGGGGCAATGACATAAGAACCCAATTCAACTGGGGGTGGGTGTTTTCTGGATTTGAACTACACTTGGATTGTACTTAGTTGACATTAGGACAGTGTTGTGTTCACAGATCTACTACCTAACAATAGTAGATACAAATATCATTTGTATTAGTGATAATTGTGTAGGAGGGAAAAGATCAGACATTGGGCATTTATGCCACACAAATACATTTTCTTATTTTTTGAAGTAAATAAATAATCTATGTACACAGCCACAAGAACATTCAAGAAACAGTGAGTCACCCTTTTGCTTTTAACCTTCAGTTGCCCTCTCAGAGATAATCACTGTGGTGGTTTTAAAACATGTTTGAAAATTCTTCCCATTAAGACTCAGGTGCTAAGTGAAGCTGATGTAGTCTTGGTAAAATTTTTGTCTCCTCTTTAATCAAGTCAGGCTGGTGACTGCTTCGGCTTATATAGTATAGTAAAAGTGACTAGCTTCTGAGACCAAGACATCGAAAGCCCTAACAGCTTCTGTCTTCTGCTGATGAAACACTCACTCTTGAGTTCTTATGTAAGACAGATGACTGTCCTCAGGCTGCCATGCTGTGAGGAAAGCCAATCACATGAACAGCTGCATTTGACCACTCCAGTAGACAATCCCAGCTGAGCCCAACCTTTATGTCATCTTTGCCCAGGTGCCATGAAAATCAGTGAGCAGGCCTCTCGATGTTTCTAGCCCTCAGCCATTGAAGTCTTCCCAGCTGAGGCCCCAGATATCAGGGAGCAGAGACAACCATCTCCAGTGTTCCTACTCCAGTTCCTGAGCTGCAAGATGTCTCTAAGCCAAATGAAATGGTGGCTGTTTCATACCAGTTTGTTATGCAGATTTGATAACTCAGATCATCACTACAATTGTGTGTCTGCCCAGAGGAATTTTGAGGCATATCAACGACTACCTGTGTTTTTATGTCTCCTCTATTTCCTTTAAGCACAAATGGAACAGACTATGCACACTGTTATATATACACTGTTTTTTAAAAGGAAGCCATTTCAAAATGCTTTACTCACAGCTTTGCGAACGTCAGGCAAGGTGATCCAGAGAGGAAACACTATGGGGAGCACGATGAGGAATGTGACCTGCTTGCGGGCATTGGAAGGCCAGGCCAGGCTGAGAGGCTGGTCCTCCTCCTCCTCAGCCGCCGTCTCTGTGGTCTGTGTAGAAAGAGAGATAAGAAATAAACAAAAAAGAGGATAATGTATGCATGTAGCAATGACAGGACCACAAACCAAGGGAGGGAAGCTCCAGACCTCATTAGGAGTCTGCCTGAGTCATCCTGCCAGCGTCTCACATCTCCCTTTTGGGATTGTAAGAGAACTTCATCTGCCAGTCTGAGTCCCAGGGACAAGGGACACATTGCTCGGCCATGAGAATTTTTTTTTAACTTTTATTTAATGAATATAAATTTCCAAAGTACAGCTCATGGACTACAATGGCTTCCCCCCCATAACGTCCCTCCTACCCACAACCCTCCCCTCTCCCACTCCCTCTCCCCTTCCATTCACATCAAGATTCATTTTCGATTCTCTTTATCTACAGAAGATCAGTTTAGCATACATTAAGTAAAGATTTCAACAGTTTGCTACCACACAGAAACATAAAGTGAAAAATAATAGATGATTTTTTTTTATCTTTTATTTAATGAATATAAATTTCCAAAGTACATCTCATGGGTTACAATGGCTTTCCCCCCCATACCGTCCCTCCCACCCACCACCCTCCCCTTTCCCACTCCCTCTCCCCTTCCATTCACATAATAGATGATTTTTTAAATGATGATGAAATCAGATCAGACCTATTGTCATGTTTAATCCCAGTGAGAGTCAAGTTGGGAATTGATAATTTCTTCTTTTTTTTTTTTTTTACAGAAGATCAGTTTAGTATACATTAAGTAAAGCTTTCAACAGTTTGCACCCCCATAGAAACGCAAAGTGAAATATACTGTTTGAGTACTCGTTATAGCATTAAGTCTCAATGTACAGCACATTAAGGACAGAGATCCTACATGAGGAGTAAGTGCACAGTGACTCCTGTTGTTGACTTTACAAATTGACACTCTTGTTTATGGCCTCGGTAATCTCCCCATGCTCCAGTCATGAGTTTCCAAGGCTATGGAAGCCCCTTGAGTTCTCCGACTCTTATCTTGTTTAGACAAGGTCATAGTCAAAGTGGAGGTTCTCTCCTCCCTTCAGAGAAAGGTACCTCCTTCTTTGAAGACCTGTTCTTTCCACTGGGATCTCACTCACAGAGATCTTTCATTTAGGTTTTTGTTTTGTTTTGTTTTGTTTTGTTTTGTTTTTATTTTTGCCAGAGTGTCTTGGCTTTCCATGCCTGAAATACTCGGCCATGAGAATTTGAGAGCTTTCTTTTCTCTCTTTTAGCAAAATTTCATTTATTTTATTTTATTTGGAAAGCAGAGCAAGAGAGAGAGAGAGAGAGAGAGAGAGAGACAGATAGAGACATACTGAGAGATCTTCCATACGTTGACTCACTCCCTCAAAGCTTGCATAGCAGGATCTGGGCCAGGCCAAAGCCAGGAGCTCAAATCTCAACCTTGGTCTCACATGTGAGTGGCAGAGACTCAAGCATTAGAGTCATCTGCTGCCTCCCAGGGTATGAGAGCAGGAAGCTGGAGTGGAAGCAGAGTAGCCGAGACAGATCGGGCATTTGGCTTAACCTTTGCTCCTCAACATCCACTCCTCTCTTTTCTCCTTGGCCGTCCTTCAGCTTCTCACTTTGACCAGCTGATGCTGGACTGGAGTGCACTGCAGCTACAAGTACCAAGCTTTTTGAGAGAAGCTGCAGCGCACAGCAAAGGACTATTACCCTCCACTTCTTCGTCCCCCGTTCTTCCCGAGGACAACATCACATTTCAGTAGAGCCTTGATAAAACTGAAAGCTTTGTTTTTGAGCACTGATTTTCAGCAGGCAAATTAAAGGAAGCACAGAAGCCATTCAGTAATAATCCCGAGAAAGCTTAACTCCCTCCTGCTAGCCCTGGAAGATGGAAACTCATGGGTTTTTGCATGGGGTTGTATTTTTAACCTTATTAATCACTTTCTTGATTTCTAAACCATTTTACATGAGCCAGAAACTTATTTTGCAAGTAGATGCCTCCATTCTCAGAGAAACAGGATGGAAATCAAGACATTGGCATCAAACAGGGCCTCAGAGCCAGGGTGTAACCTCCTGCAGCACACAGCCAGAGTTTTTACTTGCCAGCAGTTGAGGTCAGCAGCTTCCCAAGTCCCAGAGCCAGAAGAGACTTCAGGCGGATCTGGGCCCGGTAGGATGACCATTATCTTGTCAGATGGGCCCTTGGAGCCTCCAAAACAATACTGCAGATACCATCAATCACTTCCTTCCCTGCTTGTTTAAAAATGAAAGTGCAGCAGCAGGACCAAGCATCCGATCTAAAAATACCGACAGGAACTTTTCCACCAAGGCTTCCTCTTGAGGACATAGAAATAACCTGCACAAGTTTCCGAGAGCTCCTGTTCCCTTGGCTTTGGCTTTCAGCATGCACACTTTCCAAGCAGTAGCACAGGCCCCTCTAGCACCTCTGTCCCTGAGGGGGTGGCATGTGGGACAGGGTCAGGCTAGTTGGCCTGGGCGGTAAAGGACTCAACTAGAGATCAGGGTTGAGTGTGAGGCCTGACTCACAGCAGTGCTATGTTATGTTTATCGATTTGGCAAACCCTAGGTACTGCCAAAAGGACTTTTAGTGGTTCATATACAGTCACCCACACTTCAGCTCTCTCCTGTGGTTAAAATTAAAAATTTTACTAATAAAAAAGAAATCTTAAGTGATATTGAAACAGGTTGGTAATGTTATTCTGGCTTGGATGTATGTCCTTGGCAGTGGGTAAGAGAATTGATAAACAGCAAATATTAGGGAATTTAGGGGATTAGGTAGGTATTAGGCAGAAATAAGAAGTTGGCACTGTTTATTTTGGTTGCCTGGATCTTCATTAAAGACACACCTCATGTTCCCTATCCCTTTGCTGTGCATGTCATGTGCTATTCCACCTTTTGAGCCCTCTTCTGAGCCATCTTGCTCTCCATGTCCTCCAAGGAGATGTAGCGGATGTAGAGAATATTATTCCCTATGGACTCACCAGCTTTCCAAGGTGTCAGCTGGTTTTAAGAATAATATCTGTGTCATGGGACCAATGTACAGTAAGGAGACAGGTATACTTTGTTCCCTCCCAGACACCATCCTTTTATTTAACTCAAATGAATAACCTTTCCCTCCTCACCTGGTAGATGCCCAGAAATGGCATGGAAGAGTTGGGGTGTTCTGTCATTCCTCATAAGTACCCCATCTCAAATGAGAGGTGTGGTTTATTTTAGCAGAGGATTGATCTCTTTGAAGACCTATCACACTGATGTTATGAGTTCTTCAAGTCTCCTCCTGATTTTGACCTCCCCCCTCCAGCTGTGTTCCCCACTGCCATACACAATGTAGCAACTTCTCTCTAAACTCCAAGCTAACCTTTTTATGAGGAAAAACAAAAGCAACTCTTTATGACTCATATCATTTTAATGACACCAACAGATGGTGACATTTCATCAATAACCCCTCTGCTTATAACCTACGGATTAGCTCCTTTCTCCATCTGCCAGAGTCACCAGGCAGGCAGTGCCACTAGCAAATAGCAGAAAATAATTGTCTGTTTAGATGCATAAGCTCTAAACACACTACTATCCAACACAAACAATTAGCTGTATTATATGACTTCCAAAACTGCATTTGAAGTGGCAGTTGCTAGGGCAGACATGGACAAAAAGAAGAGACTTTGTTCCAGGCTGTGCAAACAGGGCTCTCTCTCTGGAAACTTCACACCACTTGAGGGACAAGTCCTGCTTAGGGAAGTACAAGAGTCCAGAATCCTGGGGTAGGTTTGAAAGGTACCTAAGGAACAAGCCCGTCAGCATACTTTAGGTAAAATTCTTTTTGTCTTCTTGCCAGGCGAAATCTCACTCTGGCTCAATGGGTACAACTTGCAAGCTGGTTAGAGAAGTGGAAGAAAAATAAAATGCTGTTCCATGTTTGGGGCCACTTTTGCCTTTGCCAAAGCCTGGGATACTAGCATATTCATTATTCTCACACTTGCAGTTGACTAGGGCAGTGGATTTTCAGTTTTCTTCTGGAGTTGCAGCATGTTGGCTTTGACCTTGTAACAACCTGAGATGAACTAAAACTTTTGTGGAGTGTCCATGAAAACAAACAAACAGAAGTTATCCATACTACTGATAGAAGAGTTTGGCGTCTGCTGGGGTCTCTGTAGAAGCCCAAGAATTGTGCAAAAGCAAGGTTGGCAATGACTGCCTTAGGGCCTTGTAATCTCTACAGAAACTCTGAGATGACAATGCTTTAAGAGCCCTCAATACAGGTCATGTGCTCTTTGCCTTCCAGAAATCAGTGCAGCATGGTGGGAAGAGTGGGCTTGTGGAGAAGCAGGAGTCCCAAGTTCCTGTCTCCACTCAGGCTATTATTACTTGGGCAGTCACCACGGTGGTCTGTCAGCATTCACTGAGTGCCTTCAGATGCCAAACAGTGTGCTAAATGCTGACTCTAACTTTCAAGGTATCTTGGGTTTAAAAGGAGAGACAAAACAGATGCCTCCAAATTTATTATTTGTTGAGGTACAGGAATACAGGTGAAACATGTGGCAAGATACATCCAGTTGTTCTCCAATATCTATTCTTCCTGTTATGGACTGTATTGTGTCCCCTCCAAATACATATGTTGAGTCCCTAACCCTTAGCTCATCAGAATGTAAGTAAATTTGGGGATAGAGTTTTTAGTTTTTTAGATTTATTTATTTGCTTTGAACGTCAAAGTAGAAGGGGGAGGGAGAGAGAGAGAGAGAGATCGATCTTCTATCTACTGGTTCACTCCCTAGATGGCCACAACGGCCAGTGTTGGGCCAGACTGAAGCCAGGAGCTTCATCCAGGTCTCCCACATGTGTGGCAGGGGCCCAAATATTTGGGCCATCTTTTGCTGCTTTTCCTAGACACTTAGCAGGGAGCTGTATTGGAAATGGAGCAACTGAGACACAAACCAGTGCCCATATGGGATGCCAAGGTCACAGGTGGCAACCTTATCCACTATGCCACAATGTTGGCCCTGGGGATAGGGTTTTTAAA